GATTCACTTGAACTCCTGCGATGATGAGAAGGAATCCCTCTGGCAATCACCATACTATTGTCTGTGAGGTTTTTCTTTTCTTAATCCCTTCACCTTTGTCACCCAGCCCCTGTCCCCCTTCCCCTCTGACAGCTGTCAGTTCTCTGTATCTATATGAGTTTGTTCCTATTTTGTTTGTTAGATCCCACATGTAAGTGAAATCATATGGTGCTTGTCTTTCTCTGACTGATTTATTTCACTTAGCGTAATGCTCTCCAGGTCCATCCATGTAGTCATAAAGGGTAGGATATCTTTCTTTTTATGGCTGAGTAGTATTCCATTGTGTAAATGTACCACAGCTTTTCTATCATTTATTTTTTTAAAAAATTTAATACATTTTTATTTATTTCAGAAAGGAAGGGAGAGGGAGAGAGATAGAAACATCAATGATGAGAGAGAATCACTGATGGATTGCCTCCTGCATGCCCCACACTAGAATCAAGCCTGCAACCTAGGCCTATGCTCTGACCAGGAATTGAACCGTGACTTCCTGGTTCATAGGTTTGCTGAACCACTGAGCAACACGGGCCAGGCTATACACTCATCTATTATTAAAAAATATATATTTTTATGGATTTCATAGAGGAAGGGAGAGGGAGAGAGAGACAGAATCACCAATGATGACAGAGAACCACTGATCGGCTGCCTCCCACACGCCCCACACTGGGCACCCGGGCACGTGCCCTGACCAGAATCGAACCACAACCTCCTGGTTCACAGGTCGATGCTCAACCTCTGAGCCATGCAGGCTGGGCTCCACTCATCTATTTTTGGACACGTGGGCTGCTTCCAAATCTTGGCTATAATGAATATCACTGCAGTGAATAAAATGAAATGCCTAGGAAAAAATTTAATCAAGGTGCATATATTCTTTTGAATCACTGTTTTGGTTTTCTTTGGATATATTTCCAGAAAAAGAATTGCTGGGTCATAAGGCAGTTCTATTTTTAATTTTTCGAGGTAACTCCATACTGCTTTCCACAGTGGCTGTACCAGTCTACATTCCCACCAAACAGGGGGGCTCGCTTTTCTCTGCATCCTCACACCAGCACTTGGTGTTTGTTGATTTAATGGTAGCTATTCTGACAGGTGGGAGGTGATATCTCATTGTTTTAATTTGCATTTCTCTGGTGATTAGTGACATTGAGCATCTTTTCATTTGTTTATTGGCCATCTGTATGTCCTCTCTGGAGAAGTGTCTATTCAGGTCCTTTGTCCATTTTTTACTTGGATTGTTTTCTTGGTGTTGAGTTTTTTCTTTTGTTTCCCTTGCCCTCCTAGGAGACATGTCAGAAAAAATATTGCTATGAGAAATGCCTGAGATTTTACTGTCTTTGTTTTCTTCTAGGAGTTTTATGGATTTAGGTCTCACATTTAAGTCTTTAGTCCATTTTGAGTTTATTCTTGTATGTGGTGTAAGAAGGTGGTCTAGATGAACTTTTATTGCACATATCTGTCCAATTTTCCAAACACCATTTGTTGAGTAGACTACCTTTCCTTATTGTCTATTCTTGCCTCCTTTGTGAAATATTGATTAACCATAAAGGCATGGGTTGATTTCTGGGCTCTCTATTCTGTCCCATTGATCTATAAGTCTTTTTAAAAATTGATTGCAGAGAGGAAGGGAGAGGGAGAGAGAGAGAAACATCAGTGATGAGAGAGAATCATTGATCGGCTGCCTCCTGCATGGCCCCTGCTGGAGATTGAGCTCACAGCCTGAGCATGTGCCCTTGACTGGAAAGGATCCCGGGACCCTTCAGTCCGCAGGCTGATGCTCTTCTGCACTGAGCCAAACCGGCTAGGGCTGTATGTCTGTTTTTATGCCAGCGCCATGTTGTTTTGACTACTGTGGCCTTATAATATAGTTTGATATCAGGTAGTGTGAGTCCTCCAACTTTGTTCTTCTTTCTCAAGATTGCTGTGGCTCTTCTGGGTCTTTTGTGTTCCATATACATTTTTGGAATATTTGTTCTAGTTCTGTGAAATATGCCATTGGTATCCTGATCGGAATTGTGTTGAATTGATAGATTCCTTTGGGCAGTATGGCCATTTTAATGATGTTCGTTCTTCCTCTCCATGAACGTGGTATCTGCTTCCACTTACTTGTTTCTTTAATTTCTTTCTTCAGTGTCTTATTATTTTCCGAGTACAGATCTTTCATATCCTTGGTTATGTTTATTCCTAAGGGTTTTATTTTATTTCTTGATGCAGTTGTAAATGGGATTGTTTTCTTTCTTTTTTTTTTTAAAAATAATATATTTTATTGATTTTTTTTACAGAGAGGAAAGGAGAGGGATAGAGAGTTAGAAACATCGATGAGAAACATTGATCAGCCGCCTCCTGCACACCTCCCACTGGGAATGTGCCCGCAACCAAGGCACATGCCCTTGACCGGAATCGAACCTGGGACCTTTCAGTCCGCAGACCGACACTCTATCCACTGAGCCAAACTGGTTAGGGCTGGGTTTGTTTTCTGATAGTTCGTTACTGGTGTATAAAAATTCACTGATTTCTGGATATTTATTTTGTATCCTGCTACTCTACTGGATTCATTTATCAGTTCTGTAGTGTTTTCGTGGAATCTGTAGGGTTCTCTCTATACAGTATCATGTCATCTGCAAACAATGTCAGTTTTCCTTCTTCCTTTCCAAGTTGGGTGCCTTTTATTTCTTCTTCTTGTCTCATTGCTGTGTGTGGGCCAGAGTGGGGCTCTGGGGTGTCCACATAGAGCACAACATTCAAGTGTTGACGTTGAAGGTTGGCAAGAATGAGCCCTTGAAGGCTTGGCTGGGATGGGCGTCTGGAAGCTGAGAGGGGGAGAGGAGCTAGGAGAGACTTGGGGCTGGAACAGAACCAGCCACCAGATGGGCCACTGGTCACAGAGCACGGATGGAGGATGCAGGTAGAAGCATAGGGTCAGCGGGGGGCTAGGGGGAAGGAGAAGAGAGGGAGGGGCTCTGGGCCCAGGGAATCCCAGGCTGGGGTGGGGTATGTTCAGGGTAGGGGGTAGGGCAGGGGGGCTAGGAGGGAGGGGGGACAGGTCCAGCACTGCACGGCACCCACTTGGGGGACCAGGGGATGAGTGATACGTTGAAATGTGGAGTTGTAGGGACCTCTGAACTGCCCAGAGGATGAAAGCACAATTGCAAGAGTGGATTTTCCGGGGAAAGAGGTCTCCAGATTTTAGGAGCCCCTCCAAGACCAGAGACCCCTCTGCCAATGAAGTCAAGAGCTTGGGTCTCGCCCTGACCGGTGTGGCTCAGTGGATAGAGCGTCGGCCTGCGGACTGAAGGGTCCCAGGTTCAATTCCGGTCAAGGGCATGTACCTTGGGTGCAGGTGCATCCCCCGTAGGGGGTGTGCAGGAGGCAGCTGATCGATGTTTCTCTCTCATCGATGTTTCTGACTCTCTATCCCTCTCCCTTCCTCTCTGTAAAAAATCAATAAAATATATTTAAAAAAAAGAAAGAGCTTGGGCCTAGGGACAGGTGCCTGTGAGGACATGGGGGCTGAGGCAGTTGTCACTGGGCCTTTGAGGAAGGGGATCTGTAGATGAGAGCCTGGAAGCAAGGTTCTTGGCTCCTGAAATTTATTGCAAAAGTTACGGGCCTGTTCATTTATCTGGGGGGCAGGGGCGTGGGGTGGTAGTGGGTAGCGGGGGGAGGGGTGTGTGTGTGTGTGTTCAGAGATCTCATTAGATTCCAGGGCTGTAAAAAGTTAAAATCACTGACCTAGAGTTTCAGGGCCCATCTCTTTCTCCCTCACAGTATGACCTCTCCCGATATCAGACTTTGGGGAGGAGCTGCTGGGGAGAGTGAGAGGACTAAAGGAGGGGATAGGGAGCGAAGATCAGTCAGGAGGGTCTGCATGAGGGGGGTTGAGGACAGCCCTGGGAGGCCCTGTCTTTGGAGCAGCTTTGGGACTCTGGACAGGGCCCTTTTCTCCCTGAGCCTCAGTTTCCCCCTCTGTACCCTGGGGAGGGAATACACTTGCCTTGTCTCTATAGCCCCTTTCAAGCTCAGAAACAACGAAGCGATGATGATGATGATGACGACGACGATGACGGTGATGATGCCAGTTTGTATTGAGGGTTTGCTGTGTGTCAGGCATAGCCCAGTTTCTCCAAGGATTTTACCATGATTCATTCATTTCACCCTTCACCAGTCTAAGGAGATGGGCACTGTTTTCCCGCCTAGTTGTCCTGCATGACCGTCATCTGGCGTGTTCACCCCTGCCCTCATCACTTACCCTCTCCCTCCCTCAGGTCGCCCTCCTTGCTGTTCTTAGAACAAACCAGGAACTACTCACCTTGGGGCCTTTACATGGCTGTTCCCTCGGCCTGGACACTTCCCCAGCTATTCACCTGTCCCCCCCTCCCTCCAGGCCCTGCTCAGAGGGCCTTCCCTGGCCACCGGGGCCAAAGGAGCACCTCCACCCCCAGCATTCCCTTTCCTCACTACCTGACCTTTCTTTACCTCTGACTGTTGCCACCCCCCTGTCAGTAGGGCCATCATCCGATCCCGAGATCCCCAGCACCCAGGGTGGCACCTGCTCTAAAGATAAGGAATCCGGCTCCCAGCGAGGTTAAGTCACTGCTCACGTCCCTGCACACAGCTCGCCTGGAGTGAGCCGGGGCAGCCCGGGCCGCCTTGTGAACCAGCCCCAGAGCCCAGGCTGAGGCGGAGGCCTGGCTCTCTCTTCTAGCTCCAACCGCGAGCAGTAGCTCTGCGGCTGAGAAGGTGCTTATGCTTACAACAGACTAACTAATAAAATCAAGTTTTAACTCACTGTGCACGACTTAGTGTTTCATTGATAATATGAAGCACTGGCTGCTCTCTCCACGGGGACCTCTCCCTGGGGAGTCACATCACCGCCCCTGCCCTCCAGTTCCCTGCTCAAATGTCGGCTTCTCACGGAGGCCTGCCCTCACCCCTGTTTGAAATCTCTGCCCCGCCCGACCTCAGTACTCTCCGTCCCCTTTCCAGCTGGAGTTTTCTCTGCAAATGTTTGCTGAATGAATGAGTGAATAATAAAAAAATATTTAATGAACGTAAGGATTAATAAATAATCAATAGTATTAATCATGATTCTCTTGTTGGACATCATATATTCTATCAGCCAGCATGTTTTGGGCATCGTAATGTGCAGGGCACCATCTAAGTGCTTTTATGTGTACTGGCCAATTTAATCCTCACGTCAACTCTGAGGTTGGTGCCGTTTTATACCCATTTTCCAGATGAGGAAATGGAGGCAAAGTCTCCTTTCTAAGGTGCCACGGCTGGCTAATGGTGGAACCAGGAAATGAGTGCTGACCGTCCGGCTCCTGAGCCCGGGCTCAGCCCCTCTGGGTCTGTCTCCTTCCCTTCTCCAGCGACACTGGCCATGGACCAGCCGGCCGGCCTGCAGGTGGACTACGTCTTCCGGGGTGTGGAGCATGCCGTGCGGGTGGTGGTGTCGGGACAGGTGCTGGAGCTGGAGGTGGAGGACCGCATGACGGCTGACCAGTGGCGGGGCGAGTTCGATGCCAGCTGTGAGTGTGCCTGCCGGGGGTGGGGGGGGGGGCTCGCCTGTACTTCCCTGGGATCAGCTTCTCCTAGAAGATGAGGCCATTGGGGTCTTGCCCCCCTGCCCCTTGGGCCTGACCAGAAGCTCTAAGGTGGGTGGGGGTGTAGGGCTCCTCCCTCAGGCCGGAGGCACTGGAGTCAGGGAAAGTCAGGAAGCCTGGATGCATCGCCCTGGGATGGGCAAGTGTCAGAGCTCAGGAAGGACTTTTCTCCCCACCCAGTCATCGAAGACTTGACTCACAAGACAGGGAACTTCAAACAGTTCAGCATCTTCTGTAACATGCTGGAGTCGGCCCTCACCCAGGTAGGGACCAGGCTGGGGGCCGGGGGTAGAAGCCCATCTGATGTAAGACCTTCTCTCTTCTCTTCCATTGAGGGGGCAGGGCTATCGCTTTCTCTTCTTCTTTCCCAAATGTAAATGGACTTTTTTAAATTCTAATGAGAATTATTCTCATGTAGAAGATTCAGATCACAGAGAAATGTAAAGAAGAAAGAAATCACTCCTAATGCTCCTGGTAATATTTTGGTGAAAATGTGGTCATTTCTTCATTTCTCTATTTATTTGTGAATCTGTGTATGTGTGCGTATGTGCGCATTTACATATCTACAATTATACAGGGTGAGGCAAAAGTAGGTTTACAGTTGTGAGTACGCAAAACACAGAGTTTATTCTTGTATTATTATCTATTAACTATTGTATTATTTTTCATACAAACAACTGTAAATCTACTAGTACTTTTGTCCTGTATATAGTTAATTCTTGTCCAAGGATATTTTCCCATTGATTTTTACGGAGGGTCGGGGAGAGAGGGAAAGACAGACAACACATTGATTGGTTGCCTCCTGCACGAGCCCTGACCAAGGCCCAGGCTGGGGAGGAGCCTGCATCATTGGCTGCTTCTCCCGAGCAGGGCCCCGGCCAGGGAGGAGCCTGCAACTGAGGTACGTGCCCTTGACCGGAATTGAACCCGGGAATCTTTGGTCCTTAGGCCGACCCTCTGTCTACTGAGCCAAACCGGCTAGAGTTATTTGATATATTTCCCAAGGTATTCTCTAACCTGCTTTTGAAAGATTCAACAATATTTCATAAAAATTTAGTTACATTAGTGAATATAGCTAATCATTCATTTAATTGAACTGCTGTTGGCATGGGGATACAGCAGTGAACAAAAAAACAAAGTCCCTGTCTTCATGAAGCTGACATTCTAGTGGGAGAGACAGACAACTAAAAAGTATATATAGCCCTGGCTGGTTTGGCTCTGTGGGTAGAGCATTTGCCTGGAGACTGAAGGGTCCCAGGTTCGATTCCAGTCAAGGGCACATGCCTGGGTTTCAGGCTCGATCTCCAGAAGGGGGCGTGCAGGAGGCAGCCGATCAATGATTCTCTCTCATCGGTGTTTCTATCTCTCTTTCCCGCTCTCTCTTCCTCTTTGAAATCAATAAAAATATATTTAAAAATATATATAATGTCAAGTAGTTAAAAGTAGTACTAGAAAAAAAAGCGCTGGTTGAAACTTAGAGTGACAAGGGAATGCTATTTAGGTGTCACTTTAAAACTGCTAACAGGAAGCTGCTGGGTTCTCCCCCGTGTTCAGTATGTGGAGAGAAATCTGCCTCACGTGGACGTGTGGTTCGAAAGGGAGTCCTTTCATAGTTTTTTCAGATAATTGTGCATATCTTTCTTAGCCAACACATTAACACTGGGCAGGTGGTGCTTTCTTTTCTTTTATTCTTTTAAAAAAGTCTTTGTTGTTGAAAGTATTACATATGTCCCTTTTTCCCCCCCATGACCTCTGCTAGCCCGCCCCTGCCCCCCACCCCAGGCCTTCACCACCCCATCGTCCGTGTCCATGGGTTATGCATATGTGCACACAAGTGCTTTGGTTAATCTCCTCCCACCCACACGCCCTCCCAGCAGGTGGTGGTTTCTTAAAGGTTGGTTGCATTGTGGCATCTGAAACCTTAGCAATGAACTTTTTGTATTCTGTTACACTAAAACCTACTGGTGTATTTTGCATTTTGCCTGGACCTATTACCCATTTTGTAACATCACGTATTGGTCATTTGGAAATACTGGTTCATTGAGTTGTGCAGCTTTTCCGAATGTTGTCCCGTGTCCTTCTACCACACCGGGAAGTCACATTTGTTACCATCCTTGCTGATCTCACCGGGAAAGTCTGTCCACATCCCGCGGCTGTGCAGATACAAGGTTTCCCAAATTCCCGTTTTCCCGTTGACATTTGAATTTTATCCTTGGCAACAAGTCCTGTCAGCTGTTCTTCTGGACGTGACAGCCTCACTCTGTCATTTTTGAGAACATGCCTGCCAGACACCCAGGGCTGAGTAACCTGGTTTTGTCTGTCAGTGGTTCTTCCAAGTAAAAATAGCGTTTGGTGAAAAAGTGGCCAACTTAGCCCAGAACTCGATGGCACAGAGCTTTCCTGGGACAGCTGTCGCACGGGGCTGCAGCGGGCTGCGTGCTGCCCGTTTTGTCACACAGTAGTACGACGACGCTGTGCACGTAAGGGCTGAGATGCAATAAAATTAATACATTTTACAGCGCCATCAAGGATATTCCCAGGTTTCATTTCCCGTGTTTTATCTGTCTGTCTGTCTGTCTGTCTGCTTATTTCGCCTTCCTGGTCCCCCGCTGAGACGGCATGGCATGTACCATGACTACGAGAACATTTGACGCCACTGGCTGAATTTCTGCTAACGGGCGCCAGCATATTTACCCACCATTACTTTTGCATCATTAGTGTAACACAGCACAAGGGCAAAATGATCTTAATATTATAATGCAAATAGTTTTGACCTTTTGGACTCCCGGAAAGGGTCTCAGGGATCCCCAGGGGTTGGCGGGCAGCACTTGGACAGCCACAGCCCCAAGCTGTCCCCGGTGGTGGAGCCGATTTAGTTCTTTCTAGTTTCTCCCTCTATGTCCTGTGCCAGCACCTTGGACAGGGCCATCCCGTTCAACTGGAGCAGCGTTGGAAAGCCCTAGTAGCTCCCACAGCGGGTCGGGCGAGGCCCAGTGAGTGGGTGGGGAGCTCTGGGCATGGCCATGTTGAGTCTTGTGGTAGCTCCTCCCACCTTCTCCCAACAGAGCAGCGAATCCGTCACCCTTGACCTGTTGACCTACACAGATCTGGAGTCCCTGCGGAACCGCAAGATGGGGGGCCGCCCAGGTCCCTCAGCCCCGAGGTCGGCCCAGCTCAACTCCAAGCGCTACCTGATTCTCATTTACTCCGTGGAGTTCGACAGGTGGGACAGAGGACTGGCTGTAGGTCCAGGCTGGCTCTAGGTGGGCGGCTGGGAGAGGATGTGGGTAGGCCTCAGGAACCCCGGGTGCCCAGAGTAGGTAGCGATGCTGCTTTGAGCCTGCCTTTGGAATCTCCATGGTTGAGGTTTGTGTCATTTAGCGCTGTGTCTGCTCACAGCACCAGTGCCTTAAGCAAACAATAGTTATCACTTAACACGATGTCTGGCAGGTGGTCGAAACCAACAATTCCATCAGGGACTTGGGCTCCTTATGGTTTTTTATTTGTTTGTTTTCTATGTCATCCTTAAAGCGTTGGCATTTTTTAAAAATCTTCACCCGAGGATATTTTTTCCATTGATATTTTCAGAGTGAGTGGCAGGGAGGGAGGAGCAGGAGAGAGAAAAACATTGATGCAAGAGAGCCACATTAATTGGTTGCCTCCTGCACTCACCCCAGACCTGGCTGGGGATGGAACCTGCAATTGAGGAATGCATCCTTGACCCGGAATCAAACCCGTGACCCTTCGGTCTAAGGGCAGACTCTCTAACCACTGAACCAACCCGGCAAGGGCAACATGTTGGCATTTTGATTTCGTCTGTATCTCTTCATGGTCACAAAGGGGCTGCTGGACCTTCAGGCATTGCATACGCATCCAAGCAAGAGGAAGGGGGCAAGGCTGTGCTTGCTAAATGCATCTTCTGTTTTTATCAGGAAAACAAAGTGTTTCCAGAAGACTCCCAACAGACTTCCTATACTGTTTGGCCACAAATGGTCATATGACCTTTCCCGTAGTATTTGGCCCTAAGTGGTCACATGAAAGGGATGCTGGGAAAATGAGTGGCTGTCTGTCTTTATAGTGGAGGCAGCAAGGGAGAAGGGAGTTGGGAATGGCAGTTGGGTTGCTGGGCATAGTGTCTGCCCCGTTAATTAATAGCTCATGGATTTTCTAGTGGGAAGTTATCAATCTTCTATGAGTAGTGCTTGGTGAGGCAGCTCATCTAGGTGCCCTACCTTTCTTTCTCCAGCCAAGGGGACCAGGTCAGGATATCCAGAATCTTCTACTATGGAATCTCAGTTAGAATTGTGGTTGTCTGCAAGTGACATGACCCAGGGGTTCCACAGTTGCTATATAAGAGGGTCCTGGGTGGTAGGGGGGCTGACTGGTGCAAAGGGGGCAGGGAGGGGCTGGGAGCTGTGTTTGGAAGTAAGCCTCTGGGAAGGTGAAGTTGTTGGAACTGTGTGTTTTTGTGCCCCAAGGCTCTCAGGGTCTGGTAGATACCCTCGGGGTTCTTGGCCTCTGAGATGCCGCGGTTCTAATCCTCAGGATTCACTACCCGCTGCCCCTCCCGTACCAGGGCAAGCCGGACCCCGTGTTCCTTCAGGGCATCATCCGCTCACTGAAGGAGGAGCTGGGCCGCCTTCGAGGGCTGGACGGCCAGGACCCTCGGGACACCCGGGATGCTGAGCTCTGGCACCTGCGGGAGCAGTGAGTCTGGGAGGCGTGGGCAGTTGGGGCTGTGGGCGGGGGCACATCCCATCATGCACTGCGAGGCCCTATGCTCAGCACTGTTGGTAGGAGGGTGGTCCATCATTCACCAGATATTTCTTCTGAGCTCTCCTCTGGCCGCCTTGTGCTGGGTGGTGCTGGGGTCACAGTGGTGACGAGACAATCTTGGCCCTTCCCTCCTCGGACTCCCAGGCCCGTGGGGGAGACAGATCTGTGAAGACGCAGCGTGGGCAGGGTGGGGGATCCCAGAAAGGGGCCCTGACCCGGCCTGGTAAGGGGTGGTATTCCAGGCAAAGGAACAGCATGTGCAAAGACAGGGTGGGAGGAAGTGCTCCATTCCGTGCTTTTGTGCTGGTCCCCTCCCTGTCCCTCCTGTGAGTGCCACCACAGGGGCAGATGGGTGTTGATACATACGCACCGGAGTGTATCACTGCGAAGGGAGACGGTTAGGAAAGGGAGCCTGTGCTATGGAAGGCTGTCACAGGAACCTGACAGGGCCTTGGGGTGGGTCAGAGAAGGGGCTGGGGAAGCGTTCTGGGCAGAGGGAACAGCATGTGCAAAGGCCTTGAGTTTGGTGGGAATGTGGTGAGAACAGGGGACTGAAAGAGGGAAGTGAGCAAAGGCGTTGGGCATATTGAGTGCCTGCTGCGTGCTGTGGGCTGAGGGGGAGTTGGACTGGGGTCTCGGTCTCTACCTGGGGGAGGCCCCCCACATGGGGGGGGCGCTAATAGTAGTAGTAGTAATAATAATAGTAATACCAGTAGCGAATGTTTTTGAGCGTTTAACCGGGTGCCAGGGACTCCGCTCAGTGCTTTATGATTCGATCCTCACAAAGGAGGCATTGCTGTCATCCCTATTTTACAGAGGAGGAAACGGAGGCCCAGAGCGGTTAGAGAACTTGCCGCAGGTCACAGTGATTAATATGGCCAGGCTAGATCTTGAATCCAGGCAGCCAGCATCAAGTCCCTTTGGGTTCCCAGCCACTGTGCATTTTGTTTTTTTGGTAATCCTCACCTGAGGACATTTTTTTCTTCCCTAGATTTTCAGAGTGAGTGGAAGGGAGGGGGAGAGACAGAGAGAAACATTCTTGTGAAAGAGACACATCCATTGGTTGCCTCCCAAACGTGTCCCCACGAACCTGCAACTGAGGTGTGTGCCCTTGACGGGAATAATGCCCTTGACCAGAAATGAACCCTCAACCCTTCAGTCCGGAGGCCTATGGTCTAACGGTTTGACCCTAACCACTGAGCCAAACCGGCGAGGGCGCCACTGTGCACTCTTGGCAGGACTGGGTCCTCAGTGCCGACAGGGAGGACCAACCCTCTCCCTCCGGATGTGAGAGCTCAGGGGGCTGGAGAGCCCTGTGGGTCTCCGGGAGGAGCGGGCTGTGCGGGCTGGAAGCAGGATGAGCTTGACCGTCAGTTCATCGGGAGCTGCCCCCAGGCCTGGCGTGTGCCTGCGTGCGTGTTTCTCAGGATGGCCACAAGGTGGCGCCCTCGGCGCTGAGATCCACGGCTTGACAGTGGCTGCTGCTTTCCAATGGAGTTAGGGAGTTTGGGAAGACTCCAAGATTTATTCGTTCATTCATCCAATATTTAACGAGTTCGTGCTGTGGGTCAGACACATCACCCAGCGCTATTAATGTTTTTTGGGCCCTTAATCAGTGCCAGACCTGGTCTAAGCACTCTTCCTAGATTCCTACAACCTTATAGGTATTTATTATTATTGTCCCACTTCACGGAGAGAAGTGAAACTGCCCAAGGTCACCGGCTTGTAGTAAGTGTAGCGGAGTTGGATGTAGGCAGCCTGGTCACAGCCCAGGTTCCTTCCCACTGGCCAGACAGCCGGTGACTGTCCTCATGGGGGGAGGATCCAGACAGAAAACGGATGATCACGCTGATCAACACCAGAGAGGAAGCCAGGAAGGAAATGTACAGAGAGCCAGGAGAGCAGGGACAGACCTAGCCCGGCTGGGGGCCGGCGGCCCCCTGGGAGGTGATGTTTGAAGGATGAGTGGAGTCCCTCCACCTGGAGAGGGAGGAGGGAGCCGTATTTGCTCAGAGAAGCTTGGCTTGAGCACCGGGCCGGGGAAGGTGGGAGGAGTGGGGGAGGGGCTGTCTGCTGGAAGGGGCTGCGTGGGAAGCTCCTTGGAGGGTTTGGGGGCGCCACAGATTTTGAGAAACATTTTATTAGGAAACATTCCAAGCACACACACACAGAAGTAGGCAGTAGTACAATGTGCATGTACTTGTGCCGCGGCCTCAGTGGTCACCACATTTTGCCCATCTTTGTTTGGTCTATGTTCCCCCCTCTCCCCTGAGAAAAAAATTCCTCTGTAAACAGTTCAATATGTGTCTTTAACATACAGGACATTTAAAATAAAAGCAGAAGCATTGTCTCACATGTCTTCTGTAATTGGCTTGTGTGAATTAATATCCAAATATAAGTACACATTGCAGTTTTTGATGTGTTTCTTTTTTTTATATTTTGATTTTTTACAGAGAGGAAGGGAGAGGGATAGAGAGAAACATCGATAAGAGAGAGAGACATCGATCAGCTGCCTCCTGCACACCCCCCGTTGGGGATGTGCCGGCAACCAAGATACATGCCCTTGACTGGAATCGAACCTGGGACCCTTCAGTCCGCAGGCCGACGCTCTATCCACTGAGCCAAACCGGTCAGGGCGGTGTGTTTCTTAAATCTTTTAATTTATTAGTCCCCCCCCACCCCCCTTTTTTCATGCGACGTATTAGTGGGAGAAGCCAGGGTACTTGTCCTGTAGAGTTTCCTGCAGTCTGGATTTTGTTGATTTTATCTCCACAGTTAAGGTATTGCTCTGTTTTCCGTATTTCTGGTGATGTGGTTATCAAACCTGTCAGCTAATCAGGTTGAGGTTTTTGAAAGACACTTGGTGCTGCTGCGCACCTGCCTCCTGCCGGGCTGCTGGCACTGATGAGATCTGATGTTGAGAGCTGGGCTCCTCTCCTATGAGGCTCCCATTGGCCCGCCTCTCTTGGTGTTTTATGTGTTTTAATATGTTTTATTGATTTTACAGAGAGGAAGGGGGAGAGACAGAGAGTTAGAAACATCGGTGAGGGGAGAGAATCATCGATCAGCTGCCTCCTGCCCGCCCCCTATTGGGGTTCGAGCCTGCAACCAAGATACATGCCCTTGACCAGAATCCAGCCCAGGACCCTTCAGTCTGCAGGTCGACACTCTAGCCCAGCCGTGGGCAAACTATGCCCCACGGGCCTGATCCGGCCTGTTTGAAATGAATAAAACTAAAAAAAAAAAAAAAAGACCGTACCCTTTTATGTAATGATGTTTACTTTGAATTTATATTAGTTCACACAAACACTCCATCCATGCTTTTGTTCCGGCCCTCCGGTCCAGTTTAAGAACCCATTGTGGCCCTCGAGTCAAAAAGTTTGCCCACCCCGGCTCTAGCCACTGAGCCAAACCGGTTAGGGCCTCTTGGTGGTTTTCATTTGCATTTCCCCAGCTACCCCAGGAGGTTGAGCACTTTTTCCTGTTTAGTAGCCACTTGGGTTTCCTCTGTGAGTTGCCTATTCACCTTTCATGTCCTTTTTTTCTTCTGGTCCTCTGTTTCTCATTGCTTTCCAGGAGTTCTTAATATAGTCTGGACATAAGCCCTTTGTTAATTTTGTGTGTTTCAGAAACCCTCCTTCCCTTGGCCTTTTCACTGTCTTAATAATGTCTTTTGATACACAGAGGTTCTTCATTTTTATGTAAACTCATTTGTAAATTTTTCTTTGCAGTTATTAATTTTTATGTCTTAACTTAAAATCCTTTTCTTCCAGTGTCATGAAGACATTCTCCTTCAGTGGTCGGCAAAATACCGGCTCTTCCACAAAATACCGACTTCTGCGCATGGGCCACGAAGTTTCAGTTGCACTGTACGTGCGCGCCCGCACGTGGTGTTTTGTGGAAGAGCCACACTCAAGGGGCCAAAGAGCCGCATGTGGCTGGCGAGCCGGGGTTTGCTGACCACGGTCCTATGTCATCGTCGGTAATTCTTTGTGTTTTGCTTTTCACACTCATGTCCACCTGGAATCGGTGTTTGGTGAGGTGGAGGGCCTTTCCCAGTGCCGTTTATTGAGAAGTGTCCTTTCCCTCCTGCTCAGCCATTGTCGCCTTTGTCATGTTTATACATAGTGGGGTTCTGTGCTCTGCAGGCCATTGGTTTATTTGTCTGTCCTAGTTCTAGTACCATCCTGTGTTAATTACTGTAGCATTGTAATTAGTCTGATATGGGTAGAGCAAGTTTCTCCCTTTTGTTTTTCATTTTCAAGTTATTTTTGTTGTTAATCTTCACCTGAACATATTACCCCCTCCCCCCATTGATTTTTAGAGAGAGTGGAAGGAGAGAGACACATCGATTGGTTGCTTCGCGTTCTTGCCCTGACTGGGGCTGGGGATCAAACCTGCAAGCCAGGAACATGCCCTTCACTGGAAATGAACCTGAAACCCTTTGGTTCATGGGCCAACACTCTAACCACTGAACAACACTGGCCAGGGCTCCATATATTTTTGGCAATTTGCATTTCCATATAAATTTCAGAATCAATAGGTTTTTCAGCACAAGCACAAAAAACTTGTTGGAAATCTGACTGGCATTGCATTGAATCAATAGAACTGTTTAGGGAGAGATCTTTATAAACACTGTAGTGTGTATTTCAATCTATAAACAAGTTTCTGTCTCATATAATGTCTCAATAATGTTGCTCCATCACACTTTAGATCAGGGGTGGGCAAACTTTTTGACTCGAGGGCCACAATGGGTTCTTAAACTGGACCGGAGGGCCGGAACAAAAGCATGGATGGAGTGTTTGTGTGAACTAATATAAATTCAAAGCAAACATCATTACATAAAAGGGTACGGTCTTTTTTTTCAATAGTTTTATTCATTTCAAACGGGCCGGATCCGGCCCACGGGCCGTAGTTTGCCCACGGCTGCTTTAGATGCTTTTGTTAATGGTTTCTTTACTTTAAATGTAAGTCACATTGCCTTTTGTATAATTGATATTTATATATAGTAACCAGTCAAAGGTCTTATTTGTCAGATTCTTTTTGATTTTCAATGTTTACAAATGAGTTTTGCTAATTCTTTCTCAATCCTTATCTTTCGTTTATATTTCTTGCCTCATTGCACTGGCGAGGACCCCCATTACGTTGAGAAGTAAAGATGGGTGGCATCCTTGTCTTGGTATTGGTTGCAAAGGGTAAATTCAGTATTTTGCCCCAAACATAAGCATCTCTCTATATACAGTGGGGCCTTGACTTACGAGTATAATTCATTCCGAGACCGAGCTCATTAAGGAGCTCGTTAAGGAGCTCATTAACTCAAATTACTCTGCGGAGAGACAGCTGGTATCTCAAATAACTCGTTAGTCGGGACACTCTAAGTCAAGGCTCCACTGTATTTCAGATCTTTAATTGAGTTTGATCTTCAGGCCAGGTGATAACCATTGAGTTAATATGTAGTTTAGCAGCTATTGACAGTCAGTGGCTAGATGGGGTTTTAAAGGGCAATGATCTAATTCTCTAATACCTTTTTTAGCGGGGATTCATCCTCTCATCACTACTTTGCTTCCCTGAGGTACATTTCCTACGGGGACGGCATGATTAATGCTTGATTTTTATTTTACTTTATTTAACTTTTGTCAGAATAATTAGTTGGTTGCCTTACATCCTCCATGGAGATCGATGAGTTTTGTCTAGTTTTTACTGTCATTGTGAATGCATAAATTTAAAACGAATTGATGCTATGTTGGTTTCCTATAGCTTTCTTTTTTTTTAAATGTATTTTATTGATTTTTTACAGAGAGGAAGGGAGAGGGATAGAGAGATAGAATCATCAATGAGGGAGAAACATCGATCAGCTGCCTCCTGCACACTCCCCACTGGGGATGTGCCCGCAACCAAGGCACATGCCCTTGACCGGAATCGAACTCGGGACCCTTGAGTCCGCAGGCCGATGCTCTAGCCACTGAGCCAAACCAGTTAGGGCTCCTATGGCTTTCTGACAAATGACCATAAACTGTGGTTTGAGACCACAGGCATGTATTCCGCTACAGTTGTGGAGAGCAGAAGTCTGAAATCACGGTCACTGGATGAGATGAAGGTGTTGGCTGGGCAGAGCTCTACAGAACCCAGTTCTCGCCCCTCCCAGCTGGTGGCTGCCATCTTCCTTGGGCTTGTGGCCACTTCATGCCAATCAGTCTCTGCCTGTAGTGGCCTTGCCTTCTCTTCTAATCTCCCTCCGCCTCTCTCTTATAAGGACACTTGTTGGTTATATTTAGGGCCACTTTATACTCTCCTCATGTTAAGGTCCTTGATTTTTTTTTTTTAATCCTCACACAAGGAAATGCTTAGAGAGAAGAAGGGAGAGAGAGAGAGAGAGAGAGAGAGAGAGAGAGAGAGAGAGAAAGAGAAACATCAATTGGTTGCCTTCCGTGTGCTCCCCGACTGGGTATTGAACACAAAACCCAGGCACATGCCCTGACCGGGAATGGAACTGGCAACCTTTTGGTGCAGAGGATGATGCCCCAGCCAGCTGAGGCACTCTGGCCGGGCAAGGGGCTTGATTTTATTGGACCCAACATAAGGTGACATGCACAGGGCCTAGGGGTCTGGCATGCGTGTATTTTGGGAGGCTGTTTTCTGGCCTGTCAGATGTCTTGGACTTTCTTGTGCTTTTCCAGCCTCAGAACTGGTTTAAGTAATTTTCCCAAGGAGCTGTGGTTTCTTTGAGTGGGAAATTCTTTTTAGAGATCACAGTCTGGTCATGAGGGGTGCTAATTGCCACTGGGTCGACATTACTTTTAGGCCTTGTTAGTGGGAAGAGCCTGAAAGGAGATACATTTTTATTTTATTTTTAAAAAAATATATTTTATTGATTTTTTACAGAGAGGAAGGATGAGGGATAGAGAGTCAGAAACATCGATGAGAGAGAAACATCGATCAGCTGCCTCCTGCACACCCCCTTCTGGGGATGTGCCCGCAACCCAGGTACATGCCCTTAACTGGAATCGAACCTGGGACCCTTCAGTCCGCAGGCCGATGCTCTATCCACTGAGCCAAACCGGTCAGGGCAAGGATATACATTTTTAGAAAGAGAAAAATGATGTCCATGTTCACCTCTTTGATGTGTATGTCTTTTCTCATAGTGAAAATCTTAATTTCTAGTTATAGTAACATAATTCTTTTCTTTATCCTAATGACACCAATATAATTACTAATAAGAAGAGTACTGAATGAAGTTTAAGATTTCTTCGCAGTTTTTTCCTTAGACTTATTTCCTACTTGCTGAAATAAAGTGTGTGTGTGTGTGTTTTGTCACTTGACATAATTCTCCAATATGCCACTAACTCTGATGTACAGTTAGATCTGTTTGAGCCAGTTTCTTTTAAAATTTTAATGATTGTTTTTATTAACATTTATTTACATAAAATATTTTCATAGTTTCAAATTCAAAACTAACAAGGAGGGTACATTCAGAGGTCCAGCTTCTATCCCTGCTGCCACCTCTGCGCCTCCCTTTTTAAAGTTTTGATTTATCCTTATATATTTTTGAAAATATGAACATTATAATTTATTATTTCCCCTTTTCTTTCACATAGAGACATACTAAAATTCTTTCTGTGCTGTTTCTAAACTTAGACCCTGACAGGAATGGAGATCTCCCTGCTCCTTCTTAGGGTGTGTGGTGCACATTTAGTGGGTGTACCATAGACATCCAGCTAGTTCCCTGCTGATGTACATTTGGGTTATTTCCACTCTCTTGTATTACAAAACGTGCTGCGAGTGGTAGCCTGTGTGTACCTCTGTTTCTCAGAGGACTTTGAGCATTTAGTGCCTGATTGTATGCATTTTAGAGGGTCCTCTGGTGAGTGAGCAGTGAGACCGGCCAAGGGCCAGAGGGAGGCTGGGACCCGGGGTTAGGCTGAGGGGAGACCGGCGGATCGGTGGTCTGTTTGGGAGGTAGAACTCAACACAGCCGTGTCCCCCGGTGGGCGGGATGGGCGTCATGTGGCCAGTCCTTGTGTGGGGCAAACGGAGGAGGGGGTGATGGCACCACGGGGGCCGCTGGGGCGGTGGGTTCCCATTTGCGGGGAAGGTGAAACGGTGGTGCGTGCGCACCCGGCAGGAATGGGGAGAAGGGACGTGCCTCTCGGCTCCCCAGCGCCGCTCCCTCTCTCCCCTCCACCCAGGGCGTCGCGCCTAGCCTCCGAGAAGCGGGAGCTGGAGGCCCAGCTGGGCC